ATTAAATTTTCTAGTGCCGAAGGGGAAATTTTCATATGCTGGCACATTGCGCCTCAATTCTAGTGCAGCACTAGAATTTTTCCCGGAATTTCCCCACAAAAATTCTCTGACTTTTCTCTCCGTGAAAGGCAATCGGTTGTGTCGAAGAAAGGGATAATAAGGATAATGATGATAACATTCAACTAAGTTGAAAATCTGACAAAATTAGTTGAAAAGAAATCTTATTCAATTTACTGAAATGAAGCATATTGCTAATTTATTAGCCAAAATAACTATACGATATGCAATACAAAAGCAATTTCTCACTTATTATTCAATGGAAATGATTAAAATTCTAGCTTAGATGGGGTAATTACGTCACAACTCCCTATACTTTGTAGTTGACCCACTAGACGGCGCCACTTTCGCTCCGGTCATCTGAGCGTTTTGAAATCATTTCTCAATCGCTTTTTAAATTACAGAAAATGAGAAATTTGCTAAATTTTAGTCGAATGAAAGAAGACAACAAAATTTAACAAATTTGTTATATGTTTGTTATTCGAAGTGAAGATGACGAAAATTTTCGGAAATATGGATGTCTCAACAGATCCTTAAAATCATTCGTCATCGAAAGGTTGTGCAAATGGAGAAATGAAAGCGTATCGGTTGATATGAATATTTTTCAGCCTTCATTTCTGCCTGACAGCCTAATTAATAATTTATCAACATACATAATCGAATGCCAATATTGAATCATCCTCCTTGCGACACGTGTATCACCTACCTGATAACACCCCACCACAATCACCAAAATAAAATGAAATCGTGTCAAAATAACATCACCTGCGTCTGTGAGTACCTGGCACGTTTATATATCGAACATTCCCGGGACAATCTAGTGCTCCGGGAAATGTATTGAGCACGTTTTCAGCGCAACTCTAGATTGCAGGTTGCCACATTGACACGATTGTTCCTTTTCGAAGTAAAATTAAAATTAAAAGTCTGTTCAGACCTTTCGCGCGAAATTTTCCGTATACTTCTTGGAAATTTCAGGGCAGTTCGTCTCGAAAATTCCAATTTTTATGAAAAATGAATGGTAAATTGTAGTTCATACGGTTAAATAAATGTTGAACTTTATTAAAGGATCTGAAATCGATGAAGTAGCTAAATGAATAAAAAATGAGTTCTAGACCTGAAAGAATAAATGAATTAGGAAAAAATAATAATTTGAAGTGGAGAAAAATGAAGAGAAGAATAATTAAATGAGAGAAAAGTGGAATATCGTCCAAATTCCCAATAACTGGACGCTAGGGCCAGTAAAGGGACAGTGGGTGGCCAATACATGGACGATCTGGAAGAATATAGAATTTTCATCCAGTTTATACAAACATGTGAATTTTGTTTTATTGAATGTGGAGAAATACAAGGGCAAATAGATTATTAATCTTCGGGATATGATTCTCCTCCTGCAAATATTGTGCTATTTCCCACATCTGACTATTTCGGAAGAGAACTTTTTTTTCTCCACGACACTGTGTCACTGATGCTTAGCAAATTGCAGCGCCACGCCACCCAGCACTGTACCTCCCGAATATTTTATTCTCTTTCTTGCTGTAATGTTGATATTTCAAAAAAAAACTTCATCACGTGATTATACATAAGTGTTATTATTGATAATGGTGATAATCCACATAGTTTTCATTCTACTATTTATAGAATACTAGACCTGTGCGCACGCTTATCTATTCGTTGTGAAAATGAAGAAATGGAATTTATTGAACCTCATATACTCATAGATGTTTTATAATTATCGACAATGACTTAAAGAGAATTAAGAGAATGAAGAGTGAAACATCAATGCATAATTTTTAATCTTCGATTAATTCTCTTTTTTTCACTTTTTAAAATAATCTGATTAAAATCTGTAATTGTTGAAAAATGAGGGGAGGGTTATGAATTGATTTCCTAGAAAACTGAAAAAATTTCTTGAATTCTTCTGAAAATTTCAGTTTTCCAGATGACTGTAGATCTTCAAAGATTTTTCTCGAGTTATTTGGGAAGCCGAAGAATTTTCATGAATTTTGTAGAATTTAGAATTTATGTAAGAATTGATCATTTTTGCGTATGATAAATATGACAAAATTAAAATTTGGGAAGTGAAGAATAATTTGTGAGTTGAAAAAATTTACAAATACTATTTTTTTTTCTCATGATCAACAATTAGGCAATTTAGAATTTTTTTTATATAAACATAAACTTCGCACATGAAAAAATGAAAAACATGACGCAGCCAAAATTTTGGCATTTGAAGAATTTGAAAATACCGGAGATTTTTTTCAGCGACTACTTCAAGTGACTCATTGACCAATCAGAATTGAAGATTAGCGGTCAGACAGTTTCCAGATATTTCCATACAAAACAACTTGACGTTTCTTTCATCTTTAGTAAATAGAAGGATTTAATGAAAGGTGAAATCGTTCAGGTATTGAAATCGTCCGCGTCCAACTATTGGCGTGTTCACCCTACTTCAGGGAAATTAATCAACTTAATAAAAGGAAATTTAATATCTTTCACAAAAATTAAATTCTTATCGTAATCATTTGAAATATCCTTCAGTGTGTTTTCCGAAATTCTGATTCATTACTGAAAAATGGAATTTTCTGAAAGAAAATAAAATTTCCGTAGACACGAAAATAAAATTTCCGCTGAACATGACATTGAACCAACGTAAAAATGCCTTTTTCCTATCTATGATAACGAACATAGACATTGTTAGTCTTCTCTCGATATCACAGTTTTCCGTTACGCGAAGTATGACGAAACTATTTGCGACAATTTCTACTGCAAAATATTGACACAAGCTCAGAAATAACCGAAGTATACAGACAAACGAAAAACAAACAACACCCAGAGAGTAGATTTTTTCTAATTTTTTTTTTAAACAGATTGTGTCTTCACAGCATGAATTATTGATGATTTTATTCAACATCCCGAGACATGTGACCTCTGGGTGACTTATCGACTGCCACCCGGGGAGACAAGACTGATAAAGCCATGTCGACAAGACTTTTTATCGGTGAATTGGGTCGTGGTACATGTGACCTCAATTTTCCCCATTTTCTCGCATCTGGGTGTGACGAAAAACTTTAGCAGAATCGCGATCACGCTGTTGTCTAATGATCTTAGACTGTTTATTCAGTTGGAGACACACTTTTAGAAATTTTTCGAAATTTCATGGAAAATGTGGTAGTAAACATCATGAGAGTGACATTGAATCCGATTTAGCGGAAAAATGGTTATGAAATTTCAAGTTTTAGGTAGAATTCAAGGAAATTCACGAGTTTTCAGTGGCAGTGAGAAGTAAATTTCACAACTTGATTGAATTTTCAATAGAACATGACTATTCAGAAACAAAATGATATGAATTTTTTATTGTTCCCCAAATTTTCCTGATTTTTCCGCATTTTCGCAAAATAATTGAACTAAAAAATCAATTACTTTACTGATTTTCAAATAGAACTTTACTGACTTCCAATGTTTCGAATACTTCGTATGAACGGATATAAATATTTTCAGTCCAAATTTCAAGTTGATATCTCGATTCTTGCACGTGATTACAAAGTTTTTTTTATGAAAAAACGGAAAAACGGGAATATCTCGAAAACTTTGTGTGAACGAGTGTATATGTTTTGAATGATTTAGATACAAGACATCGAAACGAATATTTTGAAAACAATAAATCGAAATCGGTCCACCAGTTTTGAAGATATTTGCGGAAAACGATTTTAAAACGAATCGCTTTTTCTCAAAAACTATTAGATCGAACGGGCTGAAATTTTGCACAGAGTCAGTCCCCATTAACACCTATAATCTGAAAAAATTTCAGATTTTTTGAAATCACTTTAGCCACTTATTTACTCAATTTTCTAAAAATTGACCACCGGAAACGTTGCGGTGGACATACTAACCTACAGACATGGTCTCCAAACTTTGTATTTTTACGTTTCAGGCGATTCTACATAATTTCCAATCAAAATTAGAGGATGTGTAAGTTGGGCGATTACAGCGCTTCCATTCGGAAGCAAAAAATAGTATTTTAGCCGTGCGTTTTCATGATAAAATTCTCAATCTATCAATTTACGTCACTGCTATTTTAAAACCCACGGGATTATAATAACAATTGAGGCAATAAATTGACATTAGGCTGGAGGAGGGTCGTAAAAGCTCAGCCCCACATGCGTACCAGAAATAGCTCAGTAATTATATTCATAAATCTTCCCAACGCAAAATTTCACTCCTGAACCCTCCGGTAGCTGCACATGTTCGCAGAGTTATTAGACTCAAACGAACAATTACAGAATGCAATTCCGGAAGTTTTGCCGAGTAATTGAAACTCGCTGACATCCGTCCTCGTGGAATAACACTAACGTGTGCATTTTCATCATTGTTTTTTCCGCTCACTCGATCATTGTTCTTCATATACTGGCTTTTATGGATGGAAAGGTCAGGCAATATGTGACGATCAAACGCTGCGTTTTCCTTGTACATTTTTCCGTTCATTTTTAGAGTTATAAAATTCTAGGGAAAATGGAAAATAACGAGAACGTGAGTAACACACCGAGAGCATCCGCCAAAACGCGACAACAGTCCATTAACAATCTCCAAAAATAGAAAAATCTCAAGTGCAATATTTTCTTTCATCACTCTCGCCTTCAGTGCAATCTAAACTTCTCCGACACTCGGACGTATTATCTCTGAGGAAAAACTAGTGAATTGTTTCCTGAATTACCGCGAAGTCATGTGCATCATCGGTATTAACTCGAATTTTCCTTAATTATTTTATCATGAATTGTCTATTTTTTTCATTGACTTTTAACGGCCTTCAGACTTGTTAAACTCGTTTGATGATGTTTACACGACTAATTAGTGTTTATTGATATGTTTGTGATGGGTTTCGAGTCGTTCATTATCGTTGACTAGTGAAATGTATCGTCATTTTGCTGTTTTATTTTTTGCTTCAGAAAGTGGAACTGAGTCAACGGTGAGAAAACCAGGAGTAACCAAATCCCCGAGGAAATTCTCTGGGGTTGTGATAGCCACGTCGGGTCTTCCGGCACGCGGAAAATCTCATGTCGCTCAGAGTCTGGCTAGACGGCTAAATTGGAATGGCGAGTCAGCAAAAGGTAAAACAAAGAGAACTGAATGGGAATATTTATGGATTTTTTCCCCTCTTTTGCTCGATGATGTACTTCCAATGTCTGAAATCAAAGTAAAATTGGGAAAATTTTTGCTCTTTTCAAGCAAAACAAGTGGGGAATTGCTCTTGAGTTGCATATAGTATAGTTATTTTTGCTAATAAATTAGCATTTCCTTCTATCATGTGTCATTCATTGTTTATTTCCTGTTATTAAATTGAATAAAATTTCTTTTTAAGTAATTTTGTCAGATTTTCAACTTAGTTGAATGTTATCATCATCATTATTCTTATTATCCCTTTCTTCTATTCAACCGATTGCATTTTTTACCGTTCTATCTCTCCCCTCAGCTCTTCGATAAAATGTTAGTAGAAAAATTTTATTTACACATACTTGAATGAATTTGAAACATCACATTGGAAGGAGCCCTCAGAAAGCTCACATTCAGAGAAATTCATGAAAAATTCGAAATTTTCCGCACTCGAAATTAACTTTACGCACGCTTGTGAATTGTACGCACGCCGTACAGAAAAAACCACTTTACGCACTCTAAACTGTTTCGGAAAGTGGACTTTTCAGTCATGTATCACAAAATAGTGTTTCCTAGCCGGTGGGAGGTGTGCAGACCTCGCCGAAGCGAGTGCTACCCTCGCAAGGGTCAAAGGACACTTCTCTCACTCTATACTCTATTCATCACCCCACTTTACGTACGAGCGATGAAAAAAGAATTTCCAATAGAAATCTAATGGAACTTTCTCACGAATTCGCTAGATTTTTCCATGAACCTTTTTTCCTAATTTCAGTGATGCGTGTCAGTGATTACCGACGCAAGAAGCTCGAGCTCTACGGTACACACGAGCTTTTCCGACCTGACCATGCCGCCAACTCAGCACTGAGGTCATTGGCAACACGTGACGCTATGCATGATTGTGCTGCATGGTTGGCATCTGGAAATACAGTTGCTGTAAGCATTCCCAAAAGTTTTTAGACTCCAGCATTTTTTTTTCATCCAAAAAATTCCCCATCCTCAAAACCGTTGTTTTCCACATTTTTTTTTTCTCTTCAACACGAAAAGATTCTGGACGGTTGCCTTGTGAGGAAGGATCAACGCGCGGAGGTGTTCGATTACTTCAACAATCAATTGGGCTATCGGGTTTTATTCATCGAGTGCACATGCAACGATGATGCTGCCCTGGAGCGCAATTACGCCGAGGTCATACGTTACAGTGTTGATTATGTTGGGATGGATCCAGTGGCAGCTGCTGAGGATCTTAAGCTCAAGGTCGCCCACTATGTCATGGCATATGAGCCCATGGACGAGAAGAACTATCCGAGAATTACTATTGATACAGTTACCATGGACATTCGTGCCCACAAAGTTGCGGGTCATGTTGAGTCCAGTGTACTTGGGTATCTTGGTAGTATTACTGCTCAACCGCATACACTCTACTTTTCTCGGGTGAGTCAATGTGAAGAATAATTTTATTACGACGTCTCGGGAATGGAAAAAATTATTGGAGTGAGGAGAAAACTGCGCCGTGAATTCTCAAGTAAAAGAAGATTGAAAAATTTATTCTGATTCTAGAAATGTGTATTGGGGGGGCTTCGCCCCCTATTTATTTTGCTCGTCAACCCCGAGGGGGGCTGCCCTCCGCTCTCTTCGCTCAATCCCCCCTCCTTCGATAGATAGTTCCAGTATATGAAATTATGGAAAATAAACCCCGGGGGGGTTCGCCCCCTTCAGGATTTTTCAGGTCACTTTTGGGGACGGAGAAATCTGAAGAATTGTTTAAAAAATTTATTTTTCTAGAACTGTATATTGTCCACTAGGGGATTTGGTCCCCTGCTAGTTTCGCTCATCGACCCCGAAGGGGGCTTAGCCCTCCGCTCGCTTCGCTCAGTCCTCCTCCCTCCCAGTGTGGGTGTGATCCGGAGAATTTCTTAGATAGTTCCAGCATAAAAAATTATCGAAAATAAACACCGGGGGGGCTTGGCCCCCTTCACGACTTTTCGACCTACTTTAGTTGAAATGAGGGGAAGAATTTCCGCTATGAATTCTAAACTTAAAGGGAATATAAGACTGAATGGCTGTTTGAAAAATGTGTTCTTTTTCTAGAACTGTACACAGTATAGTAGGGGCTTCGCCCCTTGCTCATTTCGCTCGTCAACCCTTGAGGGAGCTTGGCCCTCCTCCAGTATAAAAAATTAAAGCTCCTATTGGAAATGGGTGATTTTTAATAAAAATCAATCCGGTTGAGTTGAAACTTTTCTTTATTTGAAATTATTTACGAGGAAGACACATCCACACGCTTTGAGCTCCTCAGATGGACTAACTAAAGAAACAAAGATCCCAGAGATCTGAAACCCTGGCGACATAGACCCACAAAGGTCTCACGATTCATTCACAGATGTTTAGACTGAAAAACCAACTGCCCAAACATTCGTCCACGCTCTTCTCAGAATTTCAGATCAGAAAAATGTTCTCTTATAATAATATAAACATACTGTGAAATATAAAATTAATTTTTGTAATCATGGAATGTGAACTCCAACAGCTCCAATATAAAAAATGATCCAGAATAAACCCCATAGAGTGNGGCTTTGCCCCCTCGCCACTGTCTGAGTTCTATATATTGATTTTTCAAGCCTATCCTTGAGATTTTTTCATTCCCTTTCGACTGAGAATTCATGCCGCAGTTTTCCCCGCATTTGGGTAGTTTCGTTTTACTCCCAAGGCCTCTTAATCCCTCAAATTTTGTTCATTACAAATAATTGAAGTGTTATTTTGACATCAGCATGGAGAGAGTGAGTACAACGTTCTCGGTAAAATCGGTGGTGACGCAGTACTGAGTGCACGTGGTGAACGTTATGCTCAGGCGCTCGCCTCGCGGATCAATTCCATGCACATACCAGATCTACGTGTATTGACGAGTCGTCTACGTCGCACTATCGCAACTGCCAGGAGCATCGAGGCCCCTCAGGAACATGTGGCTGCACTCAATGAACTCAATGCTGGGGTTTGCGAGGGTCTCTCGTACGAGGAAATGCAGGAAAACTATCCACAAGTGAGTTTAACTCTGGGATTTTTAGTTCAATTTTTGTTATATTTTCCCGGAAAATAGCTGTCGCCCCATGAAACTTTCCATCTTACGAAATGACGTAGAGTAATTGAGGGGATCTAGGAATTGAAAAATATCTGGAGCGTGACTTGACCTCCGCTAATGATAAAAAACGTATGTGTATTGAGTGAGGACGGAGTCGTGATTGAATGACTTTCACGTGACGTGTGGATGAGTATCTCGCGTCATCAAACGTAACATTTAATCATAATTGACATCTGTGAAAACAATTTCGCGATAGGGAGTTGCAATTGATGATCTGTGCAAACAGAAATAATTCCAGAAGTAAAAAAAAACGACTGAAATGCGGAAAAAACCTTGCGCCATGAATTTTATTTTAAATGAAAAAGAATTTTTATTTATTTATTCTTATTTTTATTTAAAAATTGAACAATGGCTTGAAAAAGTTGTTCATTCTCTGGGAACTGAATGAAACGAGTTGAAGGTGATCTGAAGACGATAAATGATTATAATAAATGTTTGAAAATACGAGGTGGCAAATGTGGGCCCCGCCATCTTTGGAGCGCCCTCCACGCAAGATGGCGGCGTCTCCACCTCGCATTTTTAAATATATTTTGAATTTATTTGGCTTCTTCAGATCACCCCCAACTCACTTCATCTAATTTCTGAAATGAACAAATTTTTTTTTGAGATTTTTGGATCCCGCATTTCACTGTTTTTTTTTCGAGGGCTCTTAATAACACAATTCAGCTATCATCAGATTTTTTGCAGCTGGTAAAATTGCAAAATTTTAATTGAAAAAAAATTGAAAATAAAAAAAATCAATTAAAAAAAATTTTAAGAATTCTCTCACAAAAAAATTGTATATCCCCAGGAATTCGCCTGGAGGGATCAGGACAAATTGCGCTACCGCTACCCCTGGGGTGAGAGTTACGTCGACATAATGCAACGTGTCGATCCAGTTCTAGCTGAACTTCAACAATCGAACAATGTCCTCGTGATATCCCACCAAGCAGTGTTGCGTTGCCTAATCGGCTTCTTTCTCGATAAAAAACCAGAGGAATTACCTTACATGGAGGTCCCCCTCCACACGATCCTTCGTGTCAGCAGTTATGGCTTCGAATATCGCCTTGAATTTATAAAACTACCCATTGAGTGTGTCAACACAACACGCACCAAGCCGAAGAACTGCAGTGCAAATCGCACTGCTGACGATGCATTGATCACTGTACCAGCTCACTACGACATACCTGATCCATGGAGAAATCCTGGCAGTGGTCCAACACTTGTTCAACAACACTGAGGGAAATTTCACGAGGAGGAGACGTCGCCATCAACGTCATCGTCTCCTTCTTCAGTTTCATCAATGAAAATCGTCAAGAATTTGAAGAAAATAATTTGAGGTTTCTCATTGAAAAAAAAGGATTGGAAAAAAAACTGGTTTCAGTTGGCAGATAATTATGGGAAAATTTGAATTGTCTTGGAGTTGCGGAAGTGGTGGCGACACACCTTGATCCCTCGATTTTTCTTTTCGATACAATTTAAGGTATTTAAGGTACTTATGATTCATAAATGATAATTTTACAGTTTCAACCCTCTGACTCGCAAACCGTACGAAACCGTATCGGTGTGATATGGCCGCCAATCACAGCGCGAGAGAAATGGGCATGTGACTATTCCCTCACTCCTGTTGCGTCAGGGCCGTTGTAAGTATTGCGAAGCAATTGGGGCCCTCTGCATATTCTCGCGTAATACGTAGTAGAAGTTTTGGTAGATAGACAACAAATAATGAGAGATAAAAATGAAAACATGTCAGTGGTAAAGAGTCAGTGCCTAAAAAAGAAAAAGAATTAAAGTTTATTGAAAAGTGGAAAAATTTATGTAGAAGTGAATACGTGAAACATAAAAAGGCATCCAGAAGGAATCCAGATGATTTTTCAGCAAAGAAAAAGAAAAAAATTGATGAATAACTAGAACGAAAACCATTTGTTGAAAATCGAGGTCCTGTCCATGATTTGGAGATTGACAGCAATGAGATGTCTTATTTCAAATTGCTTCTTTTCTTCCTTAAATTTGTTTCATCCTATCTGCCAATAAATTCCTTTAAATTTTTTTTTATTTGGGACTCATGTATTCAAACGTACGCTTAGTGCTACGGCACTGTTCGCACGCTCGCTGCTCATCCCCTTCCACGTCGAACGCCCGGCCCCCATAAGTAGGGGATAAGATTGGCAGTCAGAGGGTTAATCTATTCGTTAGTGCCTAAATGTCACTGAATGCAGCTGAATACTAAAAAATCGTTGAGTGAATACGAAAATTGTGGTTTATCAAAGGTAGTCGTGCATTTTAAACAGACGTACAAAAAAAGCCGTAGAAAAACCTGTGGAATTCTATAAAAAATTCTATTGAATTTCTGCAGAATCATTTTCAATATGAATGTTGCAAGTTTTCTCAGTCAATGTTTCTTTTTTTTTCATTTGAAAAATGAAAAAAAAATGAGTCGAGGAATTTCTATAGAAGGTATTTCCATAGAATAAGTTGTGCAGAAATATCGAATTCTACTGATTTTTCTGTGAAAATTTTTCGCACGTGTGGACACTATCGAAACAGAAATTTTCATTTGTTACGCAGCATAGCTGATGGATTAGTCCAGAGAAGAAGAAGGATCCGTTGAATTAATTTATGATAAATGTATATTTAAGGGAGGAGTCGCTAGGGCTCTGATTCGACCGCATAAATTGCATAATATCGTCGTTTTTTAGATGATAAAAAAATCAAGTCGAGTTGAAATAACAGAGCAGAAATAAAGTGAGAATGAGTGGTGATATAATTTTGCATGAAACCATTAGAATCTGTCAATGGTCCTTGAAAATACGAAAATAGTGGATAAATGATGTACCTGTAGTCTCGAATTTCAACTCAATGATTGAAATTATTCATTGTGAGGGATTTTCCCGGAATTTTAATTCATTTAATTTAAGGATTTTTCTTCGTGAAATTGTAGAGACAGATATAAAGATCGTGAAATTATTTACAATTGAGAAAGAGGTGGTCAGGATATTTACAGATTAGTTGGTGAGACGTTATGATTAAGTCATATAGAGTAATTAGATTACGTGATGTTTTTTTATTGTCATATATGAGGTATAATAAATAATTTTTTTACATGAATTTCCATATTTCTCTACATTTTTCATTGACTAGAGGAGAAATTCTAGGATTTCTTTGTTTGAAAGATGTTTTGTTTAATTGAAGACATTTTTTTTTCAATTTTTTTGCTAGTCAAAAATATTTTATGACTAGGCAGATCAACATTAAGAGGGCTTTCTTTAACTAGAAAAAAATTATGTTATTTTTTCATTCAATTAAAAACATTATTTTTTTTGACTAGAAAAAAATAATTTATGACTAGAAGCATTATTGAGAGACCCCGGGAATCAGAAAACAATTTTGATATGCGGGGAAAGCTCTGCGCCATGAACTCTCAGCTGAAAATAAACTGAAATATCTGAAGGATAGCTTGAAAAATTCATTCTTTTCCAGGAACCGGATGAACCGATTTGCAAATAATCCGAAGAGGACAAATAATTTCAAGGAATATTAAAAAATACGAGGTAGTTGACAGGTGCAGGCACCGCCATCTTGCTCGGATGCCCCCTCCCTCTGCCGGGAGGGCTTCAAAAATGGCGGCGCTTCCACCTCGTATTTTCAAGCTTTTCTTAAAATTATTTATCCTCTTCAAATTAATCTAAACTCACTCCGTCCGGTTTTTACAAAGTGAACTAATTTTTTAAGCCATCTTCCAAATTTTTCCACTTCCCCTTGGCTGAGAATTCATGGAACAAAGTTTTAAAATTGAATAACGACTAGAATAATTAGAATGATTGACTGTGGATTCACAATTTCATCAGCTTGTAACTGTAATCCCGCTGTTTAATTGCGAGATGAAGATCGAGGCCTCGAAGCATTCGCGATCGAATTTCGTATTCGCTGGAGAGAGTGTCTCTCCTTCGAGTTCTGTCGATCCGCCTGATGTCCCTTCTGTCGTCGACTTGGGGAACTGCTTTCACAGCAGCCTTCATGAAGTTGAGAGCTACTTTCCGACAGGCGTCGTAGCCGGAGAGTTGAATACTCTTCCCTCGGACTTTGTTCAATTCCGGGGGATTTCGGCGAGTCGCACGTTCAATTATCGATGGAACTGACGCGGAGGAGCCAGGGAGGTCCTTGAAGACTCTCGTCAGGACGTCGCGCATCAAATCCTCGTCGCTATCGGAATCTCCTGGAGATTTATGCTTTCATGAACTCATTTGGTCTGACTTGTATTCATAATTTATTAAATAATTACTCATTTATTTATTATACTGGCGCCACCCGTTGATGCCCATTCATTATGCACACAGAAAAACCAAAACGGAAATTATGTTTTAATAAACGTAATTTACGCTTGACGTCAATACGATGTCTAATGGCTTTTTTCCGTCATAAAAATCGAAATTTAGGCTTTAAAAAAGCGTATTTCACGGTCAAAATAAAAACGTAAAAAGTTCAGGCGGCTGTATCTTCGATGCAGCTGTACGTGGATACGTCCATGGTCTTAACTTCTTTCTCAAATTTCCTAGATACTCCTTGCATTTCCTCGAATTTTCTGGAAACTTCTCGAATTACCTCGAAGTGCCTAATTTTTTTTAGAATTCCGATAGATGGCGCTGCACACAAGAACCGTTTCCCAAAATGACCTCCATATTGAAATTATAGACGTATTCACGCCAAAAATTACGTCTAAACAAGGCGCATTTTACGTTTACCAAAACGTAAATTACGTTTATCAAAAATACAAAAAAAATCATCGTAATTTACGGAAACTTTGAGCGTAATTTACAAATATGAGATTGTAAATTACGTCTGTGTAATCGTCATTTACGCTTCAACTTCAAGCGTAAAATACGCTTCACAAAGCGTAAAAGACGACTTCTTAAACGTAATTTGCGTTTAGGTTTTGCTGTGTGTGCCCGTTTCCCTGTCAGATTCAATATTCCTTGTTTCAATTAATTATTTATAATCATTTTTAATCACTCAATGTCCCAATTTATCAGATCAAATGTCCCAATTTATCAGCTGTTAAAGTTTCATATGACAATAAATGATTTCCTCATATTCTAATTCCTATGCTCACTGAATAAGATTTTAATCGTAATTACAATTCAATTCCTTTCCAGAACACACTTTAGAGTGTAAACTTCTGGAATTCAATGTTTGTTGATACTCTGGTAAAAGTGTGTGTCCACACTGTTATCATTTTTTATTTAGTTCACGCGGTAATTCAATTAATCTGTTGTTCATCTCGTCAATATAATTCCGTGCTTAGAATATTGTCATCTCATGTTTCAGCCCCAAATTAAAAATTAAAACTTCATTTGGAATATTGAGTCACATCTTCTTTTTATTCATATCAGAAATTTTGTATTTGGATATTAACATTATTTATTCAAAGTGAAAAAATCGATTATCATTTTCACTATATTGCATTCAGATTCTCCTATTCTTAACGTCAAAAATGTGAGATAATCTCATAATTCTAGCTATTAATTCTCCTCAACTTTGTTCTAACAAACCCTTAGTAAACGCAATATTAAGAAAGTGGAATTATTCTATTTTCCTCTGACCTAAATCATTTGGACAATTATAATTCGTTTGTTCATGTTTCAGAGAATGGTATTCAATTATTTTTTGTTTGTTAGGCGGGCTTCATGAAAATTCGACGCTTTTTCCATTCATTCCAGACATCCGCCCTCTTGGGATTTTTATCCATCTATAACTTGGTAATTCCTTCTACGTTCACTCATTTTCAAGACCAATTAAACATAAAACATCATGATATATCCTTCCAACTTCGAAATTACTCACCGATATCACTGGAATTCTCAGCAAAGTAAGTATTATCCTTCACAGCTCTCTGCAATTCCAGCACTCGAGCTAAAGCCAACTGTAAATATTCCCTTGTATTCGGTCCCTAAGATATTTTAAAAACATGTAATTTATTCATTCATCAGATTCAATCTTCAAAAATAAGAAAAAACGTTACCATTTGTTCGTCAGAAGTTTTCAACCTCTTCTTCTGGACCTCCGCTTCGGTCAGACAAGGCGCCTGTGGTTAATAAATCATCGATTATCAATAAACAGTTACTAATTTTTCCAAAACGATATTTTTCCAAACGAAATAAAATCGATAAAAAACGAAAATACTCACAGAATTCGATCTCTTCATCTTTCTCCTCCAAAAATCCACAGATTTCACTTGTTCAGTCTATTTATTTTCAACAATAAAATAAAATAAAATACATATATCTATCACAGGAATAAACACTGAGAAATATACTAAAGAGAATGGAGAAATGATGGAAATCAACTATTTTAGTGCGAGGATTATTTAACGTTCCATCGAGCCTGTGCAAGAGTTGAGGTGAACGTTGAACCGTTAGTAGAGTGATTGTGGCTCGAACGGGGGTGACCCCTGGGTGTCGCGTGCCCGTTGTACCCCCACTAGACCCAACAATCTCACCCCCTCGACAGCTGCAAGGGCAGCGCGTGCCGCTCCCAACCGTCAAAAACCAACAGTGCAGATGGATTGTATTACATGTACGCAGTATCCTGGTTGATTCGGTCTTTTCTCCCTCGCATCTGTCAATTTTATCTATTTTTATTGCGGAGGAGGCGCCAGCCAATGAGAATCATGCTACAACAGGGCAATTGTTGCAGGAAAAACATAATATTCATGTATTTATTCATTTATTCAAAAATGGTTCAAGTCGCTTTGGACTATTGCCCAGTTTTCAGTCAATATCTTGAAATCGAAAAAAGATAGCTAAATTCCTGTCATGACCTTTTTTGTAGGGGGAATTAAGCGCTACAAAAAAGGTTTGTTTGAAATTCAGCTATTCAAACTAGTCAAACGGTCACCGGGCTCAACGAAAATCTCGAGAAACTTCGGGACCCTTCGGGGTCATGGTCAGCTACGAAGAAAATCCCCGAAGAAGTCAGTAGTATCGTTCTAGCCACCGAGAGAGTCACTCTAATCACAGTATTGTATCGCCGTAACCGCTCAATCGAGTACATCACCCGAGTACATCAACGCGATATATTTGAGTCTAGCGCTTCGTACAGCGTCTCTATTTAATTTAATTCAATTATCAATTAATTCCGAGTTAATTATCAATTATTTTGAGTCAATCATCAAGTTTAATATCAAGAGAATCTTAAGTGCAGTGCATTTTCAAATCATCATTTAATTGACTTTGTTGAGCAAATCAATAGTGTAACATTATTAATTTATCAAGACGCGTGGGTTATTCCACAATAAAGTACAACAACAGTGTGATTTTATAATTCTGCGTGTTTTAATTTTCCACCTCCTTCCACAATTCCACTTTTCCCCAACCGGCATCTCAATTTAGCTTCAATCTCAAATAGGGTTATTACGAAAATTTCGCTATCTTTCTTTAATTCGGAGATATCCTTCAAAAACTCGATTAAGGGCAAAGTCGACTTGAGACTTTTACGCAATAGCAAAGGGCCAATTGCAGGGTGAATAATTCAATTAACGATGCAGATGCACCTAGTGCTTCAAAGGGTAAGGATCCACAACAAAAATAAATACTATTGTCTCCTGATAGCAGACAATTAGGTTCTCGGATTTTTTCCCCCCGAAAAAAAATCCCCGGAGAAAATTCCCCGGAAAAAATTCCCCCGGAATTATTTCCCTTTATGAATGTAAAAAACAATTACACAAACACGCATTATCAACGTCAATTTTATTTATTAGATCCTTCAATCTTCGAAGACATGCCAGATGAGAATTCAACTTTTTCAATAGATCAATAATAAATAAATTACGTTACTGCAATAAATTAATTGTCAACATTTTCGAACCAATTCCCCCAAATAATTCGAATTAATCTGTTGCATCAATAATCCATGAATCTTCATCATTCATTATATTCTCGTCCTATCGCTGATTCATAAAAAAAAAACATTGACAACATTAAACAAAACATCATCTTGCACTACCAAAACAATCCATTTCAAAAGAAACATATTTCCAAGCAACCAATCATGAAATTACATTGTCATTATCACGTGTAACTTGGAGGAGTAACGAGAATACTTTCCAACATTAACAATAAAGTTAAAAATTGTAATATGTTTATTTTTCATTTTTGCCGGAGATTTTTTTTTCGGCGATTTTCAGGGAAAAATAATTCCGGAAAAATAATTCCGAGGGAATATTTAGACGAGGGATTTTTTTCCACGGGGAGATTTTTCCGAGAAATTTTTTCGGGGAAGAAAAATCCGGTCACCGACAATGGAATATTTATTGAATATTTCATTGAACTTGTTTCTAAGAATTTTTCTGTTATCACAAACTCGCTAGTATTCCGGTTTTTTGCAATAAAATTGCCAGACCGGCTTATCAGCCCGCAAATTATGCCGATGAGTCGAATTCTCCTCGGCGTTTACATCGAAGGTTTCGAGAAAGCAATTATTGCAGTTCCAGTATCACAAAAACAGAAAATGTGACAAATTAACGCTGACCATGAACCAACAGAAAAACAACGCTGTTGGAAGAAAGTTAAAATTGAAATGTGATGAAAATTCCCAAAAAAAGTATCAGAAATTTCAGCCAAAATTTTTGACAGTGGAATGCATTGATTTTTAGCAGAGCAATCATTAAAATCTAATGATATTTTTTTGTTAAATTTTCATTTAATGATCCATATGTAACAGACTAGGCTCTTTAGATCATCTATATTTTTATATTAATAAGTGATTGTTGATAATATTCATAACATTTTTAACGAATGAAGAAAAAAATTAGCTAATCCTTACTTTATAGTAAGGATTTAAATACAATTGAAATTTTAGGATTTTTATTATAGAATCGCAGCAACACCCCGCAGCGCTGTAGACGCCACTTTAAGGGGAAAAGATATTATACCGCCGAAGACTGGAAATCTGCCCAATATTGAGGACAAAATTCCGCCGCTGCTACCGCTATCACTATCGCCGGAGTTGCTATCACCACCACCTCCAGAGCCACCACCTCCGTTGTTATTATTCCCATCGTTATTGTTTTGAGCTGAAGAAACCCGAAAAAAATATGTTAGACCGACATTTTTATAGATTCACAAAAAATTGCTGCTCTCATTAACAATCCTTCCATAACTTGGGATAGAAACTGTTTTTTTTTCATTGCTTTATATCGCCCTGACTTGGATTTGAATATACTGCAAAATATGGTCGAGATTTTAAACAATTAGCCCGAGTTTTGAACCCGGGATCGCGAGTATGTGAGCCTACCAGCCACTGTACCTACCTTATCCATTGTACCAGCCTAATTGTAAAAAAAAAAAATGAGTCGCTGTCTCAATTCTGTACAATAAAATCATACGAATGAAATTTCATTGAATCGTAGGCAATTCGAACTGCAAGATACAAAAGTTGCCGCAAAGATATAGTATTGGGGACTAAAAATTGTTTTTTGGGAATTTGAGTAACTCTTCGATGAAAAGAATAATAAAAACAAGTGGATGATTTCTTCTGTCTTCATAAAGCAGCCACTAACGCACCCACTGCACCAACCTAGTAGTTAAAAAAAAAGCTCAAATCGCTGGATAAATTCTGCACATTAAAATGATACGACTCACCGACAGTGGAAATAACCCTGATATGGGTTCTATACTATAAACCAATAAAAAAAAAAATAAAAAAAATGATGGAATTTAATTAAATTTTAGTCAATTCGAACTACAAGATATAAAAATTGCCGCAAAAATATCGCGTTGTGGACTAAAAAATATTTTTAACAAATAGTTTTTTGAAAAGAATGATTAAAACAAGTGGAACGTTGCTTTTCTCTTCATAAAGCACTGCTATTGTTCCTAAGAAATTCGCGATAAGCTTCCGACTAGTCATTATGCACATCATTTTCACCTGTCGAATGGAATTGATCGTTTAATATTATCATGTTCAACTGACTTGAATCTCCTCGTTGATCAATCTGTTAGATTTCTTGTAAAAATTCTTGTCTATCCTATTTATTGTTTGCAGTAAATTTCAATTAATGTCGTTGGATGGGGCTCAACAATACCTCCATTCGGAAAACAAAATACTGAAATTCCTTCGATTCATTAACACAAAAAAACCAAAACTTGAATTTGAACGATTACAAAGCTCCAACTCGGAAGACATGAACAATTTTGAGCAAATGCAACTCTCGACTGTCCCTGATGACGTTGTCAACTCACCGTTGACCTCCAGAAGGTACATGCAGCCAACGAAAATCACGAGGATGATGGAGCCCTTGAAGGAAGCCATTTCTATCAGCGCCGAACAATAAGACCGATGTTACCAATAGCCCGGTGAAATTCACAGTGAAGACCTGTGAGTAAGTCACTATTAATTTATGCCATTCCCTGGGCGATAAGCGATGGGTAAACATGAAAAAAACAAGTCCCAATACGCAGTGCGATATGAGTTATCAAACTACGAAAATTATTTTCCACCCCGAGGAAATGGCACTACCTCTCCTCGGTAATGTTCATTATCCCCGACGTTTTCCATCTTTTTCGCGAATAAGAGACTTCGTTGGCATTGGCAGGCGGCCCCGGTGTATCTTGAATGAACATTTGGCGATTCCACTTGAAAGTAGGAAATTGAGGAATAGAATAGACTTCTTGTCCCCGACTCCTGAAGCTGCAAGGCACATGAGACAAATTCAAACGTAAAAGAAAATGAAAAATTTCGGAAATAGAAAAGCGTAGGGAATTCGATAGAAGATTCTATTAAATTAGATTTCTATTGAACTTGTAGTCAAGAATTGTCCGGTTTTCTGCTTTCGAATGGAAGCTTTGTAATCATCCGAATCTGAGTTTTGGATTTATTTTGTTCTATCGACCCAGTGTGATCCAAAAAATCTGAAAATGGCATTTTAGATCTCGTTCGTACGCGTGTGTGTATGTGTACATATGTAAAAACGTTTTTCTTCAAGTTTTCGCCAATGAATAAATGGAATTCAGTAGCGAAGTGATATATGTCAATTTTGACTATTGACCAGTTTTTAATGAATATCTCAGAATCTAAGGGAGATAGCAAAATTTTTTTGGTGGATTTTATTCAAATTCATTCAAGTATGTGTAAATAAAATTTTCCTATTGACATTTTGTCGAAGGGTGAGGGGAGACATAGAACCGTAAGAAAGACAATCGGTTATATAGAAAAAAGGGATAATAAGAATAATGATGATGATAACATTAAACTAAGTGGAAAACCTGACAAAATTAGTTTAAAAAAAATCTTATTCAATTTAATAAAATGAAATAGACAATGAATTATACATGATAGAAGGAAATGATGTGCAAAATAACCATTCGGAAGCATATTGCTAATTTATTAGCAAAATTAACTATACAATATGCAATACAAGAGGAATTTCCCACTTGTTTACGCATTTTTTTTAATAGAAAATGTCCAATAGAAAATATTTGGTCGCTAAAGCGGCGAAATGATTCAAGTCGTTTTTGCCTATTGGTGGGATTTCAATGAATATGTAGGAATGTAAGATAGCAAAATTTTTGTTACAACCTTTTTGTAGCTCTCAATTCGCTTTACGAGAAAGGTTATTCTGAAATTTTTGACATCTCCCTTGGATTCGGAGATACTTCTGGTTTCACTCTTATTAAAGTTGAAGTAAATAAAGTAGGAAACAGAAAAATTGTTTAACGTTGAAATTTTTTATTCGTCACTTTACCATATTTTTTGTAATACCTGCCTCAAAAGTTCACTTTTCGAAACCGTTTAGTGTGTGTAAAGTGGTTGTTTTACGCACAATAAACCAATAAATACTGTACTTCCCCTTTTATCAAATCATCGCTTCATGTTGCACCACTATCATCTCACCACGGACGAAAAAATTTAATAGAAAATTCTATTGAATTTCTATTGAACTGTTCTATTAGTTTTTGGCCGATTCTATTGAAATGTTCAATAGAAAATATTCAGTAGAAAAAGTCAATAGAATTCAATTTTTCTATACAACTTATTTTCTTGATGAGAAGAAAAGAAAAATAGAATGAACAGGTACCTGAAAAGGGTCAGAAGTGGTTCCAAAGGTCATGAAACGTGAAGAAATGCTTAAATTTCCACATTCGATTTTCGGGGTCATTACAATAACTTCCTCCCTTCGGGTCGGGAAGTTAAAAACACTTGGAAAGTTTGAGTCGAGCAAATTCTATAGAAAATATATGAACAGAATAAGTTATATAGAAAAATCGAATTCTGTTGACTTTTTCTATTGAATGTTTTCTATTGAACATGTCAATAGAATCAACCAAAAATTAATAGAAAATTTAATAGAAATTCAATAGAATTTTCTAACGAATTTGATAAGTTTTTTCTATTAAATTTTTTCGTGCGTGACTCTCTACTTTGTGAAATCTCATCTTTAAACTTTTCAGTATCTATCTTCTTTTTGTAAACCTATAAGTATATAGTCACCTTGTTTTCTAATGTTTTTATACTTCTTTCTTGATAACCGACGGTAGTGGCCGTGCGGTTAGAGTGCTAGACTCGTATGCCAATGATCCGGGTTCGCTTCCCGGCACCGGCGGTCAAAATTTATAGCGCTCTAATCTCACAGTTTCACTGCCGAGCGGTAGTCCCGTCAAAAGGACGACTGTACCAGGGCAGGTTTTTCCCTCGAATGAGGTTTTCCCTCCCTTCGGCAAATGCGGTACAGGGGGTTGAGGGGGGTGGGAAGGGAACAAATCGTAAAGACCCGAAAGGGTATACGAGAAGAAAAATTTTTACTTCTTTCTTAGTACCTGGCTGAAGGTCCTCGAGCGATGGCCAGTTGCAAGTTCTCGGGCTTGCAACGAATTTCGTTAAAAATAAAAAAAATAGTAATGTACTTATTCATTTATTAAAAAATGAATATTTCAACAGATAATTCAACAACTGTACACATAATTATTTTTTCCTCTTCCGGATGTATAAATTATGTATAATTCAGTAGCAAAGTGGTAACTCGAGTGGAAATTCAAATCAGGATAGAATAAGAGACTGACCAGTAAAAACTAACTTTGATCATTCTGTACAGTACCGGATCCGATACGGACCTAGTCGAGATTTAACTGATCAGAATAGGATCAAAATTCACTTCGCCGCATTAGATTCAGATATTCCATTCAGGATCTCATCAGATGGTGATCCGAAAGTCTAATCAATAAATTCAGTCCAGTATTGGACCTAAAACTGATCTAGATCCAAGCTAACCGAGTGAAATTTCTACTCGGGAAAACGGTATGAGTCAATTTTGACTATTGACCAGTTTTCAATGAATATCTCGGAATCTAAGGGATATAGCAAAATTTTTGTTACAACCTTTTAGGGAGAGCCGACGGAGAGCTACACCAAATGTAATTACGAAAATTTTGCTATCTGCCTTAGATTCCAAGATATTCCTCAAAAACTCAACGGGGAGAGAAGTCGACTTAAACCGCTTTACCCCTTCGCTACTGAATTATCTATAAATTATTTCCGAAACATGAAAACTCTTTGCAAGTGACCATTTTTATTTACACAATTGTACATAATTTAGGTCTTGGAATGAAGAAAACCGTGATAATTAATTGAAGGTAAATTATTCTCAAATTCCTCGATCAAAGGAGATCAGCAATGCCTTTCAGTAGTTGTGCCACTCCACCAAGAAGACCACTGAGCAGAGAACCGAGGAGTGGAATTTGCTCCAAAGTCGATTGTTTTTTGGCATCACTGGAAGATTCAGAGCTGCCACTGGTGCTGGAGTTGCCACCTTGAGCTGTCGCCCAAAAATGTCTCAAATGAAATTAACCCCGACTGTGACAATTCATCGATTCGCGACGTTTCCCGCATTAAAGAATTCATTCGACAAACTGAATTTAACACAGAATTTAATTTCAATCCCATGAACTTACCGGTGACTTCCATTATGCCGACACATGCCACGAAGATGATGAGAATTGATACAACTTTGAGTGATGCCATTTCGATGGAGGAATAGTCAGACCGATGTTGCCAAGAGTCAAGCAGAAGTCACAGTAAAATCTGGCGACTGTCTCAGTGTTACTTGTAGTCCATCCACCACTCGTTGATAAACGGAGGAGGAAAAAAGTAGCTCACATATTATTCCAAATGACCCAGGAAAAAAAAATTATCGCACGTGGGGGAAATTAACAACCAGAAGTGGAGGTTTCTGCGAACGACAGGGGCTGTTGCTAATACGGGCCATCTCTTCCTTGGTTTTTCTTCGCTTCGAACTCCCATTCCTGTCCTCCCATTTTTATTTGCATAGAGGGGAGAAGAATTGAAAGACATTTTTTACTGTGAACCACTTCAATTATGATACTAAAAAACTAATGATTCAATTTTGCAATTATTATTTAGATTTAATGAAGATTGCCGTGAAGGCACGTATGAAGAAAATTCAATAGAAAACCTAGCGAATTCGCTAGAAAATTCTATTGGAATTCTATTCGAATTTCTGTTGAAATTTTTCTCTTGAGATTTTTTCGATTAGAATTATTGGGCACAAATTTTCCAAGCTTTTTCCGCTGGATTTGGTTTTACTTTACATCACAGAATCCGAGTAGAAAAAACTTAGAAAATTGATGCCCATTCTTATAGAAAAAACCTCAAGAGAAAATTCCAAATAGAAACTCGAAATCTGTTGACTCTTTCTTATCGAATATCCAATAGAATCAGCGCAAAAAAACAAATAGAATTTTTCAATAGAGTTCCAATAGAATTTTCTAGCGAACTCGGTAGGTTTTCTATTGAATTTTTTCATGCATGGGGGAGTGCACTGGGCACTCGAAACGTCGGCAAAAAATTTCAGATTCAAGTTACAGTTTTTTTTTGCATTGATTGCATAAACATTTATTACAATGACTCTAATACTCATCCATCCCTATTCTATTCCACTTTTAAAAAAATCCAGTGTAACGATTTATGAAGCCTCCATTCCGCTTATCAAGTAATGTATAATAATATGATGTATATGTATTTTTTTGTGTACTGTAATCTTTTGTTTGTAGTAATTGCAAAAAGAGAGAAATTCATTTCTTACTGTAATAAAAAAATACATATGTAAGACGGTATATATGTATATAGTACACAATGCATCCCGAAAAATAAATAAAAAACACAAAAAGCAAAGGGGAAGCGAAGAAGAAGATGAAGAGGATGACGAAGTTTTCGAATAAATTATTCAACAATTAAATTCCCACTATGAGAAACTTTGCTAAAACCAATCATTTTTCCTGCATTATTATTGAGATAAAAATTAATGAAAGCGAGAAACTGTAAGCTTTTATTACTATTCTGGCACCCATGGAAAACAATACCCGCGCCCTGTTCTGGTTGAATGAAAAAAAAGGGAATGAAAAGACATTTTTTAATGTGAACAAAATTTTTATTCAACACCTGCAAAAATTATGAATTGAATTTGAATATTGACAAAAACACGAAAATATTTCATGCGAGTTATTTTTTTCTGCAAGTGATATTCACCGCGATGGAAATTTTTTTACAGCATATTAGCTGTTAACCGGAGAATTCCCTTCACCATTGACAGAATGCCAACTGTGAGAGAGCCAGCTATTGGGATTTTGCCCAAGAATGAATCGAGGGCTGAGACTTTGTCACTGGAAGAACCACTAGAGGAATCCCCGCTAGAGGAATTACTGCTTTCGGTAGACGAGTCATTACCAGATTTACCTGGAGTCAAAATCGAAACCAAAAAATCGTGAATAATATTTCGAGAGACAAAAATTCACAAAACTTCACCAGAAACAAGTGGGAAATGGCTCTTGTATTGCATATAGTATAGTTATTTTTTCTAATAAATTAGCAATATGCTTCCGAATGGTTATTTTGCACATTATTTCCTTCTATCATGTATAATCCATGGTTTACTTCATTTTATTAAATTGAATAAGATTTCTTTTCAACTGATTTTGTCAGATTTTCAACTTATTTGAATGTTATCATCATCATTATTTTTATTACCACTTTCTTCTATACAACTGATTGACTTTTTTACGGTTCTATCTCTCCCCTCAGCCCTTCGGTAAAATGTTAATAGAAATTTTTTATTTATACATACTTGAATAAATTTCAAACATCACATTTGAAGAAATCATCAGAAAGCTCACTTTCAGGGAAATTCATGAAAAATTCGAAATTTTCAACAATCATCAGAAAAATCAAATCAACCAATGTAGCTATCGTAATCAGCATTTAATTTCGACTTAATGGCATTAAAACAAACATTTTGAGCTATGATTGAATTCATTTAAAGATATCCCCGGAATTCTGATTTTCAAAAAATACATAATTTTTGAAAATTTTCAAATAAATCAAAATAACGATTATTGCTATCGCCTTCATCTTCGAACTCGATCAGAAGGACATCCAAACAATTTTTTTAAGCCATCATTCAATCAATTCAGGATATTTTTTTAGTTATCGTGGGACAATCGATTTTCGAAAAAATTCGAAAATTAAAAAACTTTATACTTTTCATTATCTATCTTCTTTTTGTAAACCTATAACTATATAGTCACCTTGTTTTCTAATGTTTTTATACTTCTTTCTTAATACCTGGCTGAAGGCCCTTGAGCGATGGCCAGTTGCAAGTTCTCGGGCTTGCAACGAATTCCGTTAAAAATAAAAAACTAGTAATGTACTCATTCATTTATTAAAAAAAATGAATATTGCAACAGATAATTCAACAACTGTACACATAATTATTTTTTCCTCTTCCGTATGTATAAATTATGTATAATTCAGTAGCAAAGAACGCTAATAAGTCAGTTTTGAGTATTGACCAGTTTTCAATGAATATCTCTGAATTTAAGGGATATAGCAAAATTTTTGTTATAACCTTTTTAGGAGAATCGACTGAGAGCTGCAACAAATGTAATTACGAAAATTTCGCTATCTGCCTTAGATTCCAAAATATTCCTCAAAAACACAACGGGGAGATAAATCGACTTAAACCGCTTTAGCACTTCGCTACTGAATTATGTATAAACTATTTCCGAAATATGAAAACTCTTTGCAACTGACCATTTTTATTTACGCAATTGTACATAATTGAGGTCTTGGAATGAAGAAAAACGTGATAATTAATTGAAGGTTAATTATTCTCTAATTCCTCGATCAAAGGAGATCAGCAATGCCTTTCAGTAGTTATGCCATTCCACCAAGAAGACCACTGAGCAGAGAACCGAGGACTGGAATTTTGTCAAAAGTCGATTGCTTTTTGGCATCACTGGAAGATCCAGAGCTGCCACTGGTGCTGGAGTTGCCAGCTTGAGCTGTCGCCCAAAAATTTCTCACATGAAATTAACCCCGACTGTCCAATTTATCGATTCGCGAAAATTAAAAAACTAAACGATGAATTGAATTTTAATTAATGGCGATCGATAGGGCTCGACAATACCTACATTTGAAAAGCATATTCAGTTCCATCCAGACATTGGCGCACAAGTAAAGAAAAACTTTGTTACCTACGTACATACTGTGTACACACGTACGGGCGAGGTCTAAAAATTTAAACTTTCGGACTTTTTGGATCATACTAGTATGTTTCCAGCTGGGTCGATATAATACAAAAAATCGAAAACTTAAATTTGAACTACTACACGCTGTTAGAAAATGACTCTTGAAATTTCAAGTAAACAATCTGGAAATTTTTAACAATCACTCACACGAAATTTTCATGCATTTTATTATTGAAAAATCAGTTGAATTCTGCGGTATTTAATGGAATTGCAATTTTCAGCTCCACATGATAATGAAAATTATTAAAAAATTTTAGATGTCATTGAAATATCAGTGATAATCTACACTGTCAGCACGAAATGAAATTTCATGGACAGTTGACTTCTAATTTTCAAAACAGTAACACTGAGTGCGCTTTAGAGAAAAAAATCATGAAATTTTCGGTTTCACTGAAAATTCAATAAAATTCTAGAATTTCAAGCAGCACGAAGACGAGAATTCCATAATTTATTTGAATTTATTTGAATTTTTCCAACCTAATATGAATATTCAATGTCAAATAACATTGAATTTTCAGTGAAACCTTAAATTTCATGATTTTTTTCCCCTAAATCGTATTCAGCGTCACTGTCCTGAAAATTCAAGAATATATTTATCGAAAGTTTATGGTTTTCTATTCATTTTCAGAGAAAAATGGAACTGACATTTACAGTTCTCTGTGATTTTTCCCTCAAATTCTGAATTTTCAATGACAAAATTTCTTGAAATTTCAGTGGTAATTAAATTAGATAAAAATTTCCAAAAAGTTTAACGCAAGTTTCAGACAAAAATTTTCACCAGTGTGACATGGAAAACCTAGTTATCTTGAATTTCCAGGCTGAATGAGAGATTTCATGAACCATTTGATCTTTAATTGAATTCAAATTCACAACACTGAGAGTTCAAGTGCAACTATTGCTCAATTTCCAAAAAATTTCCAACAGTGCAAAGCTTTCATTCGGGAGCAAAAATAACAAACCACACGGAGAGAGATTTTTTAGAAAAATTCTAGTGCTGGCACGGGAAAAGAGGCGCAAGGTGACGGCCAGGAAAAAATTCCAGTGCCGGCACTAGAAATTTTATTGGGGAAAACGTGAATTTTTCCTCGTATTTGTGTGAAAATTTCACGAAGTCCCCAGAAATTTTAGCAGAAATACCAAGAAATTTTATCTTAACAGCACTAGAATTTTTCCCAGCCGGTAGATTGTGATTTTTTCCAGTACTCGTACTAAAATTTTTCTAGAAAATTTCTCTCCGTGCAGAATTGCAAACAGGGGCAAGTGAACATAAAACTATTCACTCTGTTGACTCACCGTTCACTCCGAGAAAGTAACCACTAGCGACGAGGATAAAGAAGACGATTGTAACCCTCCGGGATAGAGCCATTTTCATGCGGAATATTCGGGTCGATGTTACCAGTAGTCCAGCTGAATTGATAGTGATAACTAGTGGGCGAATATCCAACAATTTATGCAGCTATTTCTACGATAATAATGAGAATAAGCATGCTGAATAGTCTTCCCCCCTGGCGCGCGTCAATAATCGGAGAATTGGCTCGTTATCGATCAAGGCACGTCAACATTTTCAGCATTTCCGGACAGCTCCTTCATATTGAAGACCATCCAGGTTTGAATAAATACAAGTTTATTAATTCAGTAGCAAAATGGTAAAACGGTACAAGTCAATTTTAACTATTGGCCAGGATTCAATGAATATCTGGAAATCTAAGGGAGATAGCAATTTTTTTCTTATGAACTTTTTTATAGAGCCGATTGAGAACTACAACAAATGTGATTACGCAAATTTCGCTATCTCCCTTAGATTCGGAAATATTCTTCAAAAACTCAACTGGGAGATAAGTCGATTTAAATGTTTTACCACTTTGCTACTGACTTGAAATGAGGCGATGATAAACTGCAAAGAGAAATGTCGAATAGGGATGACAAGAATGAATAGAAACTACTGAGCGACGCCAACATCAGGGGAGAGGGCCGGAAGAAAAGATGAGAAATATGAGAAAGAAAGGAAACATGTGTTGTGATGGTTTTGAGCCATAGTCGGTCAGTTGCAGGTAGAAAATAAAAAAAATCTTCGAAATCTCCATCAATTGAAGAACAAATCGCACAACGTTTCGAGTGCTCAAGGCACTCCTCCTCAGGCGCCAAAATTGACCAAATTTGTGGAATTTCGAAAAGAAAAAATTGAAAATGAAATTGGTTGGAGATCCAAGAAAATCCCCAACTTGTATGACGACTCAAAATACTTGTTTTGATTATAAGAATTACTGAACAAAAAATGAAACAAATCAAAAGTGACATAATCTGCAAAATTTAACTTTTTCAACTTTTTTTTTGAAAATTCGTTATTGTGAGCATCTAAAGATCGAAAAAAATTCATTACTAAAAATATTCTTATAGGCAGTAAAAAATTAAAAATTTAGACGCTTAATAAATCAAAATCGGATGGGTAGAATTCCAGTTATTGAAAAAAATCGAAAAAACGAGAAAAAAATCATATCTCCAAACTGGGCTGCCGAAAAAATGTGAATAAATCAGGTCCGGTCGCGCGCTTCGCGCGCTCCCTCTTTAGGGTATGACCGGTAGGGGTTGGTGGAATTGGATGTGACCCATTACGGGTCGCACCAATAACTTCCCGACCATTTGTTTTTTCTTTCATTAATTTTTTTATTATGTATTTATTCAATCTTTTTCTCACATTTCTCCGAGGAAATACCCATAGAAGACAAGAAAATCCGTGCGCGTGCTCGCACTCACACACACTCCCATGCACACACATCGCCGTATTCCGCATCGAGAAAAGATGTAATTTATCAGAAAAGTAAAATTGTTTCTTGAATGTATATCGATTTCGAAAAAAGCTAGTGNAGCGTCAACGGTTGACTCATTTAGCGTGGAATACCTCATATGTTTTGATTGATTTAGAGAATACATCGAAACGAATATTTTGAAGACAAAAAAAATCGAAATCGGTCCGCTAGTTTTGAAGATAAAACAATGCTTCCATGCGGAAGGAAAAGCAAAAAAAAAACAAATACTCTTTAATTAAATTTGTATTCTTCTCTTTTAATAGAATGAATTAAATAAATGACAAACATTAGAAATTGAAGACTAAACATTTTTCCGTACTGACCTTCACTTTTCCTCGTCCGGGGATTGGGTATTGGCCCTTCCCCAAACTCGTAAAGAGAAAATCACTGCGAAAAAATATCGTTCACGGCTAGTGCGATGGGGTTTTTTGACTCGCGTGTTTGGCCACTCCTCGCCTTTAGTTCGGACGCCAACTCCACGCGAGTAAAAAAAAACCCCTGGCAGTCGCCCTGAATATACTACATCATACTTATTATGTAAAATAATAATAATAATAATAAAACTATTTTTAATTAATTTTCTGCTGGCCAAATGCAGAAGGCTGTCATCCTTGGGTCACTTCGTCTACTTAGGCAGCATGATTCTGGATTGCAGTAGAGCTCACCCTCTGGTCAGAGAGAGCACTATTGCAGAGCGATTAGGAGAAGTTTGTATCGCTTAGTTTGCTGGGCGGTCTTCGAGGTGAAGTCAGAGGCTTCGAGAATCGGTTAGCGATCTCATTTACAATAATACTAATTTTGTACTACAATTTTTTTCATAGAACGGTCGCTCGCAAAACAAAAGACTGTTTCAATCACATTCACCGTTTCACGTCGTCACAAAAAATAATGGCAAAGTCTCTGTTGCACGATGATTTCGTATCATTTAATAAAAAGTTAGAAATCCCAAGAAATTCCAGGGAATAGAAAATGGATTATATTAATTGAAAATCATTTCAGACTTGCAAGACTGAAGGAGAAGACTTTCCACCTTCAGGAAGAGGAAATTTCCAGGAAAAATGACGAAGGTTGATGATAAAATAAAATATATGATTGTAATTTGTCATCAAAGTATATTACATTACTAGATTTAATGGAGAACATTTCGTAAATTTTTGGGGGTTAATTGCATGGGATGAAATATTTCAGAGCCCGAAGAAATAAAAATGGAGGAAGAGAATTGCGGGCTCTGTAAAGGCGGGGAAAAGTCAGGGTCGACTCACGTTCACATACAAGACTTGTGTCCGGCTGATAGGAAACGCATTACCAGGCTTGTGGAAAAACTGGTTGAGTAAGGCGATATTGACACTCTTTTATTCCAACGAAAAAAAATTAGTAAAGCTAAGAATTCTGCCAAAGTTCTGTTGAATTTTCTGTTAGGTTTTTCGCAATCCTCTGGAAATGTTCAACGGAATAGTATATTTCGTAATGAGTGCAAAAAAGTGTTTTTTGGCGAGTGGGAGGTTTATATCACGAGCCGAAGGCGAGTGATATAATCCCACGAGCTAAAAAACATTTTTTCACGAGTTACGAACAATATTTTTCATCACATGGTGGCGGAAATTGGACTTTTAGGCACGCGGAGCATGCCGAAAAGTTCACTTTTCGTCACAGCGTGATGAAAAATATTTTACAGTGAAAATCAATAGAATTCAATTTTTCCACAGAACTTTTTCTATTCAGATATTTTCTATAGAAATTATTTGGCTCAAATGTTCCAAGTTTTTTGTTTGATTTTTTTTTCGAAAGGAAGAGAAAAATGAAGTGAAAAAAACTTCCAAAAAATCATGTCGAGGGATTCCTACAGAAAAAAAATTCTATCAATTTTTGGACTAATTCTACAAGATTTTTCAATGAAATTATTTCCATTGCACATTTCCTTTGAAAAATGCCCAGTAAAAATAGGATTTTCATGTTTTGTTGCTAGGGCAACTCAAGCCAAAGATAAATTAGAGATGGATGTGGCTGAAGTAAGAGCAGAAAACGAAGCGCTGATAAACCGCTACGACCTTTTCACAACTGAGCGCGAGGAAGAAATGAAGAAAATCAAGTCCAAGGTTAAACTAGGTTGACTTTCCCCTAGAAAAAAAATAATTTATCATTTACAGCTTTCAGAGAAGACAGACCAACTGAACAAATTCCGTCTTCAAACATCGCATTCCCTCGAGCTTTTAGCGGAGCAAGTGAAGGCTCAGGAGACGGAGTACCTGAAGCTCACCGACACCGTGAACGAGCTTTTACGAGAGAAACTACGGTTACAGAATGCCGTAGCCGAGCGCGATGCAAAAATTCGTCTCCTCGAGGTGAGAATAAATAAGAAAGAAGAAGAAGAATTCAAAGTAGAGAGACTTGTGCCTCTTGAAGAGCATGAGGAAACTCGTGAAACAGTGTGAGAAGGCGAACCATTATCCATTTGTCAAAGGAAAAATTAAATTTTTTAGCCCAACCAATTTTTTTCGTAAATAAAAACTGTGGAAATTGAAAACGCAAATGGTGAAGCATTGAAATTGATATTCACTTCACGTTTACTGAATTCCTTTATTCCTTTCCATTTTCCTTGTTGGTGAATGGAAAATACTGTTATCACTCGGCGTTATCAATCTACTTCGAGGCAGGTGGATAATTGCTGTCTAATCATCGTCGACTGCTCTATTTACTTAATCTATTTATTCTCTCTATTTATTTAAAAATCTAGCGAATTCGATAAAAAATTCTACTGAATGTCTATTAAAATTCTATCATTTCTGTTCACTTTTTTTTTAATAGAAAAATGTCTAATAGAAAGTATTTTATAGAAAAAATCAGTAGAATTTCATCTTTCAACAAATTTCTATTAGGACTTTCATCTCCCCCATTTTTCATCTTTTTTTTAGTTGAAAAAAAAAAAAATTTAACTGAAGAATTTCTACGGAAAATATCTCAATAAAATAAATTGCATAGAAAAATCCAATTCTGTTGATTTTTCTATAGAATATTTTTCACTGAACAATTCCACAACTAATGGAAAGTTCAATAGAAATCCAATAGATTTTTCTATTAAATTCTTTCGTACTTCTTTTATTATGACGAATAGTTGTTGCATCTCTGAAGCTGTGAATTCTTGAAGTCGTCCTTCCTGCCCCCCGCCAACCAATCTTTTCAATTAAAAAGCTGATCAAATTTTTTTTTTCAATGAAATAGTCTTTAAGCATAAGCTTTTTATTGATCGATTTATTACATGATTGCTCTTACACCAGTTACTATCTCGTAATTCATGTAATAATAGTAATAATCATAAGAATAATAAATGCACGTTTAGTTTTTTTTCATCAGCATTAAAATTGTTACTTGTTATTTTTTTAAATATCTTCTTGAAACTTGTTTACGTTATCATGCCTGAAATATTGATTCAAGTTGAAACAGAAATAACGACTTTTGTTTAATGCATGAGAATTACAAATGTTAGTCATTCTCATTCATCACCACCATCAATGAAAAACAAATACACGGATTTACATACTCAGTTATTATTTTTTGTTGTTTGCAGTCACAGTTTTTTTTATCTTCATGTAATAGAGATTAAACCGTTGGTGTACGTCGTGTCCACAACTTGTTAAAATTTTCTTTAAATAATTCACTCTCTTTCGCGACATCGTACTTCATCACGGTAAATATTAAATTTATTCATATTTATATATATTTATATTTCTCGTATATATATAAACTATTTTCATTCATAGAAGTTAGTCCTATTGTGGTATTTCTTTCATTTTCCGATTAATTTTTTCTCAATTTCAAGAGTGGAGTCATGACATCATCCGGATATTTTCCAAAAACATCAATTTTTTTTAAATTTTTATCCAACAGTTACCATGAATATTCAATACTTATGATCGATGTTTTTTTAAAATGTATATTATATGCTTTTTTTATACCGTTTAACAAAATAAAACTATCAATCACTACAACAGTCAGCAAGCAAGAAAATTGGTAACACAATTGAATTAATTTGTCCTTTTTTTCCTCAATATATTTTTCTTCTCGTCATTCTGTGTACGATTGGTTGATGAATTATTTATCATTTCGAATAAGTGTTCATGTCAGCTGGTAATTTTTCCATGTACTTAATTTAAATATTAAGTTTATTTTACCCTTTATTTAACGTTTAATCATGACTAGAATTGAATTAAACTAGTTGGATGTCATTGATAGATTTTTTTAAAGACAAATTTCAAGCTTTTTAAGCTCTAATAATTTTTTTTCGGGGTTGAAAGCTCAAGTTTAAAGCCCTCGCAAAATGATCAAATTGAGCTTGCGATGACATGCACGTAATACCATGACGTTCACATCAAATTGTTCAGAAAAACCAATGAGAGCTTTTTACTTCGCAAGTCTCAGCTTGAGCTTAAAGCTCCCGTTCCACTTTACCCCGAACTTTTTTTTTATTCAAGATTCATCTTGAATTAAAGCTCCAGTGAGAAAGCTCAAGTTCACAGTCCTCGCAAAATTATCAAATTGAGCTTGCGATGACATGCGGGTAATACCATGACGCTCACATCAAATTGCTCAGAAAAACCAATGAGAGCTTTTCACTTTGCAAGTCTCAGCTTGAGCTTAAAGCTCCCATGCCATTTTACCCCGAACTTTATTCAAGATTGACCTTGAATTGAAGCTCCAATGAGCAAAGCTCAAGGTTAAGGGCTCTGCAAGCTGATAAAGTTGAGCTTGCGATGGCATGACACAAAATGTCATGACCTTGATAGAAAATTGATTCAAAAAAATTATGAGATTTTTGTTACTTCACAAGTATTAGATTGAACTTAAAGCTCTCACGATACTTTACCCAAAACTTTATCAAACTTGACCTTCAACATAAATTCCAATAGAGCCATTTAAAATCGTAAAACTGATTAGTCCTCTCAACTTTGAGATAAGTTAAAAGCTCAATGCTGGAAATATTTACTCAACGTCGCAAGCTCAACAAAAAATCTCCAAAAAATTTATGAAAAATAATCAGAGCTTCAAAAGCATGAGAAAATTCCTGAAAAATCTCCATTAATGTCACCTTTTTAGAATGTTCTTACAGTCAAATCCAGCCAGAACATTCGGATTAAATAAAAAAGCGTGCCTCATTATTTATTCTTGTCAATTAATCAGTTCTTAAAACTACAATGCTTCTTTCATATTTACTTGGTGACTCATTTTTCATTAATATATTTGTGTTTTTTTTTTTATATACAAGATTACCTATCTCGAAGCTTTCAATTCGTTCCTCGCTGTTACATCATGTCTTTATCTTTCTCGCTTATGTCAACAATATATACCGTGACCTTCGTGTCGCGAATACTATCATTCAGTGCTGTAAGTTCCGTCGAAAAGTCGGGGAATTTTTTTTATTTGTCTCACGGTGACTCCCAAAACTAATTGTGAATTGATGATTTCATAATTTATGGATCGAATGGAATGAAAACAATTACGAAAGCTTCATGGTCTAGGTAACTTACGAATAGTCATGGTAGAATGGTTAATTAACTAATAATATATTTCATTTCTAATCAATATTAACAACGATATGGGAACTAGTAACAAAATTAATTAAAAATCAAAGATAATTCTCGCAATTTTTTAAAATGTGAGGAATTTAACATTCACTCTACGTCTCCCAATGATATTTACACATTTTCATGTAATATAAGAGAAACTGCCAAGAGGCCGTTGTGTAAAATATTTTCCAATACTTTTTCGAGATAACAAATGGAATTGAGAGTAAAAGCGCCGGCAGAACGAATATCAACGTCTATACATCGTGATTCATCTTTTTTGTAAATTCATCTTGAAAATTATGATTATCGAATTGACAGTGATTAAACACATAAACATCTACTGAAAATTCGTGCTCAGGATTTTTGGACATTCGTCGGTATCAAGCGTCGATCGATGTGACTATCGATCCTAGATATTATTTGACAAATTTTCAGTTGAAGATTTGCGGAGGGTCTCAGCCGTGGAAATGTTCTCACGAACATTCGGAGAGATTTTCATATTTTTTGGCAATGCTGCTGCGTTCATGTCGCGCTGAAAAGTGTCTTCGTTTACCCATAAACGAGAAGTCGATGTGAATTGAATTTTTTATAAAAAGTGCGAATGTTCTTGAAAATCCGACAATTTTCTCAAATTTTCTGTATAACCGGAGAATTTTCTCGAATATTTTATAACACCGGAGAATTTTCTCATATTTTCTCTAGACAACTGGAGAATTTTCTCAAATTTTCTAGAAATTCAACAGATCGCGCAGGGGTAACTGGCGGAGGGGTAACTCCGCGAATAACTTCCAAAATGAAATTAAAAACACGCTTCGTGTGAATTAAATTAGCAAATGTGCGCATCTTCTAGAAAATTCAACAGTTTTCTCAAATTTTTTGTAAAATCGGAGAATTTTCTCGTATTTTCTGGAGAATCAGAGAGCTTTCTCCAATTTTCTAGAAAAATCTAGAATTTTCTAGAACTTCGACAGATGGCGCTGGCCGTTGGGCGTAACTCTGTAATATCCCCCAAATAATATTCTTCTATCCAGATGGGTTTATCTCCAAATACCGTTAGGGGCAAGTGCCAAAATGTATGTTTCGTCATTAGGCCGAAAAAAACTTTTCTGGCGAATATGACGTTGCAATCGTATGAGCTAAAAAAGTTTTTTCATCACGCTGTGACGAAAAGTGAACTTTTCGGCACGCTCCGCGTGCCTAAAAGTCCAATTTTCGCCACATTGTGATGAAAAATATTGTTCGTAACTCGTGAAAAAATGTTTTTTAGCTCGTGGGATTATATCACTCGCCTTCAGCTCGTGATATAAACCTCCCACTCGCCAAAAAACACTTTTTTGCACTCGTTACGAAATATACTATTTTAGGCTGTATGTCAAATGATATTTCTTGTCATTCCGGCCGTAGGAACGCGTAGCATTCGTAAAGCGCTGCCTTACGGCCGGAATTACAAAATAGTATAACTCGTTACGAGTGCGGAAAAGAGTTTTTTGGCTCGCGGGAGGTTTATAGCACGAGCCGAAGCGAAGCGTGCCTAAAAAGTTACTTTTTCGCCCAGCTTGATGAAATAGTATATTTCGTAACGAGTGCAAAAAAGTGTTTTTTGGCTCGTGGGAGGTTTATATCACTCGCCTTCGGCTCGTGATATAATCCCACGAGCTAAAAAACATTTTTTCACGAGTTACGAACAATATTTTTCATCACAATGTGCCGGAAAGTGGACTTTTAGGCACGCGGAGCGTGCCGAAAAGTTCACTTTTCGTCACAGCGTGATGAAAATGAAATTAAAGACGTGGACACGTCAAAAAGCACATTTCGGCATTCCTTGAACGTAACATTACTGGCAAAAAATATAGTTCAGACACATGTGAGAAGGGATTGTTCACCTCGTGTGATTGGCAGCCTTGGCTCTGTTTCAGGCCGCCAACTTCATAGTTGTCAAAAGCTCGTCTCACTTATATCGATATATACTATCCCAGGATCGATAATCGTCATCGTACGCGTGAAAATATGTGATAGAAAAATCTAGCGTTTTCTGTATGAAATACTATTCAAACTCTATAAGAAATCTGTTGAGAAATTCTATTGAACATTATGCAACTTTACCGTGTCATTTTGTTAAAGGAAATTTTATAGAAGAAAATCTATAGATTTGAACTTTTCTATAGAAATCCCTGGGTGTAAGTTTTTCCGCTATATTTTTACTTTCTCATGACTTAAAAAATTCATCCCCAAAAATTCTTACAGAAAAATTAACGTCTATAGACATTTTTCTATAGCCGAACGTATTTTTAAAAACCGCACGGGGAAGTTGCATATTTTTCAATAGAATTGTTTGATAGAATGCTTATAGTTTTAGCAGAAATTCTATAGAATTTCCAGAGAAACGCCAGATTTTTCTACTAAACTTGTTCACACGTATTCACCCACATCGTAACAAAATTTTCGTGAAAAATCAATGACTGTGATAACTCACTCGAAGATCACCGTGAATCGAAATCTACAAAAGTCCTGGGCCTCGATGACTCGATGGGATCGTCTCATTATTCCCTTTGAAGCCTTGGTGATGACACTCACGTACTCGGCCAGCGATTCCGCGACTCACTTGGCCTGCGTCTGTGTGTCGGGAGGTGGAGCAGTTAGGGTGATTATTGTTGAATTCGTCGTGGGTCCTTTGCGGGCTAGTTTGGATCTTATTTGACCGGCGAGAAGTGGATTTATTGCGTACAACCAATCGTAAACTTCTTTGTCGCCGAGGGTTTGTAGTAGGTAGCCTCTGTGCTTAGTGACAACGCTGGAATAATTATTCAAGATCAAGTTAAACAATTATTAACATCGAGTAAGATTTTTCAAGCATTATGAAAATGAAGAGGGCTCGAGAGGAAGAATTAAGTTATTATGTAAAATCAAATTTTTGGATGTCCTCAAATGGGTATGAGGACTTCCTTAGAAAGAAAGGGGGCTTCGGTTTCGGCGTGCAATATATGTTACATACGAATTTGATATTCGCATATATATATTGCATACATATCGATTATATAATGACATATATTGCATATGGGGCGTTCCATACTATTTTAATCGATTTTTTTTTTCAATTTCGATGAAATTTAAATATGGTATAGAAGTGTTCCAAGCATGCCTTGGAATATTATTAAAAAAAAAAAATTTCTAAGTTATGCGAGTTAGAAATTTTTAGGTTGGACCAGATAGGTAGTTTTAAAAGGAATTATAACTCGATAAATATAAATTTTATCAAAGAAGTGCAAAAGAACTTTTTTATTCAAATCGTATGCGATGGTATATATGCGTGTATATGTTTAATATATGTATCATATATGCATCATAGATTTATTTATATACCTTCCACATACATAATTTTCCGTATGGGTGATTCCCTCAGGAAGAGGTGGTAAAAATTGCCGCCAGAGGGACACGGCGTGGAGTTCGAACTCTCTTTCAATAAAATTAATATGAAAAGTATCCATGAAAGGAGAATGAAGGTATAAGTCGACTCAACTCGCAGGATGATAGTTGAGAATCAAAATCAGGACTTAATCCGTTTTTCACTTGAATAAAAATATAGTTAATTTTTTTTCTACTCGAATCGTTTTTAGGGGATATGATACAATATATAGAATCGTTTTCCATCAACAACTCATTTTCGGAAAAAGCCGACTTATCACCCTTTACCGCTTCGCTACTGAATGGTACACGGAGAGAAATGTGCACATCACAAGAATCACGAGGAATCATTCACTCCAAGTCAAAGATAATAAACCCACCTGAAAGTATTCGGCACCTTAACCATGGCCAGCTGATCCTCGGAATACTCGACCTGCGCCGTGGCCAAATTGATGAGCGCCCTCTCAACAGGATCCTTCTCCTCCCTGAAGATGAAGACGTACGGTCTCCTAACAGCCTGCAAAACTCCCCATTAATCACACTCCTCCCACCCCTCCGCCTCACTCAAAACGACAACTCACCACCCATCTCTTCTTCCATCCATTGGTCTTGTGCTCGAGAACATTCAGGTATCCCTTCCTCGCGATGACTGGACTTATGCGGATCTCCTCGACCTCCGGCACATACAGCACCAGACTCTCCTTCAATGGTGAAGTAGAGCCCAGTGGTGCTGGTGCCAGGGAACTAGACTGACTAGCCGATTCACCCGCCATCATACTCTCCTGGAGCTCCTGGAGTCTAGCCCGTTCTGGTGAGCTCAACCTAAAGATGCAGGACTTAGAACTGCTCCTGATAATAATCCCAGCCGGCTGCAAGGTAACACTCCGTGTCTACACAACCCGAACGCACAATTTCTCTCATTACCTGCGGTTGTCCGCGATTGTTACGCAATAGCAGATTCGTGAGGTTTTTTTTTTCGAGTGATGAAATTATTTGGAAAGCAATGAAGCAAAGATGTTCCAATATGGACAACCGCTACGGGGCGTTTCAGGCATACAGGGAGTGTTACCTGCTCAGCAGAATGACAACAGCGTCTCGATAATACTGACTCTTGAGATGACGATGATACAACAGACGACATCATTGAGGTCGACATATCGGTTATGGTGTCGTCACCTGGGGATACGTCTGAGAGGACTATTGGCTCTTTACTCGGAATTCTTCCCTGAATCAGCTTGACGTATTTTGTCGCCAGCTCCTTCTCGTGATCAGTCATTTCCCACGGTTCGTAGACATCTTTGCTCGCGGATTTCTTGAGCTTTACGGGACTCGCGTGGGGCTCGTTAGTCGCCTTTGCCACCATATTGCAGACCTCCTAATGTACAGAATTCGATGTTGAGGGAAATTGTACAGTTGGACGACTCTTTTCAGAGCCGATTGGGGACCTCACATATTCTAACATTGCCTTTCTCCCTAGAGGGCTTTTTTTTAACCCTCTGACTCGCAAACCGTATGAACTGCTCATATGAGTATTCTCTCACTCCTATTGCGTCAGGACCATTGTAAGTATTGCGAAGCTACCAAGGCCCTCTGCATATTTTCACGTAATGCGTAATAGAAGTTTCGATAGATAGACAACAAATAGTGAGAAATAAAAAAAAGAAAAGATGTCAGTGATAAAGATTCAGCGGTTCAAAAAGACACAAAAATGAAAATTTATTGAAAAGTGTATGTAGAATTGTTGGTAAATACGTGAAACAAGAAAGATACCTTCAAATTGTGAAATGAATCCAGATGATTTTTCAGCAAAGAAAAAGAAAAAATTGATGAATAACTAGAACGAAAATGGTCTTCAAATATTGAGAATTATCCAGTGCAACCATTTGTAAAAAATCGAGTCCTGCTCATGATTTGACGATTGACAAGAATGAGATGTCTTATTTCAAATTGCTTCGTAATTTTTACGGCCTTTTGAGTCCTCTTTTCGAATTTCATTTCGACACTCTATCCAACCCTATGCATGCGGCTGTGGATTCTACACTGTACCGCATTCATCCTTCTATAGAACATAGGAATAGCATGGGAAACCACAGAAAACCTATGCCGGTACAGGCGGTTACTCTATTAGCAACCTCCCGCTCGCCGGAGCCTTCCGTTGAAAATTTCGGTTCCGCGGGGAATTGAACTCACAACCTTTCGCACACTAGATTTGCGTCTAATCCACTCGGCCACCGACGTCGGTGAAAGAATGAGATGTCTTATTTCAAATTACTTTTTTTCTTCCTTAAATTTGTTTCATCCCATCTACCAATAAACTCCTCTTAAAAATTTTAATATTTGGGACTCATGTATTTAAACGCGAACTTCATACTACGAAACTGTTCGTGCCCTCACTAATCATCCCTTTCCAGTACTGAGGAAAAGATTGCGAGTCAGAGGATTAAAGAAAAGAGGCGTTCAACTGTAGACAGAAAGTCAAAAGAATTGAAAAGCAGCACTACTTAATAGCTTAAAAACTGAAAATCCAAAAACTCCAAAATGTTCAAGACAATTTTCCTCATTTTATCCCACAATCAAACCCCATTAGAATCCATCAAAGTGCACTAGTACCTAAAAGACTCGTGTCACACATAAAAATTGTACCTTGAAACATTTTCTACCTCTAATACGCATGGACGTACCAGGGATGCCCGTACCTTCTCGCTCTTGGTGAAGTCGTGACTAGTCTTGTTACAGAGTGCCACCTTATCAATTCCAAGTTTCTCCCTGAGTAGAAGTGTGTGCCTTATTTTCTCGACCTCCTCCAGCCTCGTGAGCTTCTCAAGCTCCCACTGGTGATCGAATATGAGACTGTCGCCCCTTGGTCGCCACCCATGGAGATTCTCCTCACCCCTAACATAAGTAGAACTTGTGTCCAACACCCTGCGCTGACGTCTCTGCACACCTGCTTCCGAGGATCTTCTCAGTACCAATTCGTAGACACCACTCAGTCGATTAGCTTCCTGATTCCTATAGCTACCACTGAATAGATGCTTGAGAGACCTGGGGCCCACCCTGGCGTCCCTCCCGTAGATGATCATACTGAGGTCTTTCGTGATTATAGCGGGTCTGCCGCAGTTCTCCAACTCCAAATAAGCAGAAATCGTCATGAAGATCTGCTCACCGTAGGACGTGACCCGATTGAGAAGAGCTGAATTGTGCAGAGAGCTGTCCCAGGCGGCCTCGAATCTGAACATACATCGGTCGTCACCAGGAATCTCGACATACTCCCCTGGGAAGAGCCCCAGTGAAAGCACCGAGGAATCGTTGTCCTCCTCCTCAGGCTCCGGAGTATTTCGAATTCTGCCGACAACTAGCTCCCTCACGTCCTTCCAACGAAGCTCAGACGCCTGTTCATGGACAATTGTAATACGAATACGACGCTGAATACCCTGATGCAGGAGGAACAATCCACGGCAGGGAAGATCGTCACTGTGATCGACCACTGATGGTACGTATTCACCATTCGGTGCCAATTCACAGATCTCAAACCAAACAAGAACATCGTACTTTGCGTGGACATGGGAAGTGCTGGGAGAAGGTAGGACTGAACCAAATTTGGGTGAACGAACTGGTTGGCTTATGGGAATTGACGGTGGTAGCATGCGTTTCGGCGGCTGTCTGACCCCATAATCTAACTTGGCATCTTTGTGCAGTGGATGCTGTTGATAATGTCCGAATACTTCAAATACAATCGGCTGAGTTTTCAGATAATCCAGGAATGACTTGGTAACAGTTACTGTGATATTCTGAACGTGATAGAAACCCGGGGGATTCCCCTTGCCCGTGTTCTTCACGGGCTCAGTGGAGAATGCCTCGTCGTGTCTGTGTAGGAAATTGAATTGACAGAAGATGTCAGCGTACTCCGTGGATATACCCATGGCCTGAAGCACTGTCACCCTGAAGGTGAACTCAACCCCAGATTGTAGGTGATCAGGCAACTCCTCCTCTTTCATATCGCTGGCCACCGAGCTGTCACCCCTTCCACTGTCTGCATCGCCCACTTCCTCCTCGTCCTTGAGACCCTCTTTACCCTCGGTCTGACCCTCCACCACTCGCTCCTCTTGCATCATAATCTGTTGATTCTTCTCGAGAGTCTGAGTCAGCAGGGTTCCCCGTTTTCCCTGACGGGGATTCCCAAAGAGATCGTCGTCGAAGGAAATTCGGGCTGACTGTCTCACTCCACTCGAGTATTCACTGTTTTCCTCTTCTGGAACAGGGGGAGGTCAAAGAAATGCTCCGGAAGGGGTGAGCGGGGAGGGGGAGGGGGTACGTACCGACAACTGCTTGCACTGCGACGCGAAGGTAGCCCTTGACGTCACCCTTCTCGTTTACGATCGCTACTTTGTGAATCAGAGGCACTGGGTACATCAGGTTGCTCAAGTATACGAATGATCTATAACCGGGAGTGAGTTATTTTTGGGAACTCTTAGATGGCTTAAAGTTTAACCCTAGTTTGGTCACCTGACGCGAACTTGCGACTTTGGTCACTTCCGCGGGAATTTGCCGCCGTGTTATTTGGACTCCAGCGTTGCCGAATTCACTCCACACTGCCCGGGCGCGTTTAGCGAGTTTTCGGCAGCATCGCGCAATGGGCAATTTCATTTAAGGTGTTTCGGTTGAAAAGTCAAAATAATGAAGAAAATTGTGAAATTCATGGAAGAAATTTCTAAGTATGCTGTATCGTTGAAAATGCTTACAAATTTTCTTCAGATCTGTTTCAAGAAAAAAAAAATGCTGTTTTTGTGACCCCTCCCGCTATAACCTCCGAGGTTAACCCACTCGCAATTAGGGAAATTTCCATGGCACCCAAAAAAATTATGAACTATTGAGAAAAAACTAGTGGGTGATAAATCCAATCTTTCTTGAGAAGACGTATAGGTTTCAGATTTTTTTCAGATTTCATAAGAAAGTTATTTGAACAAATGATTCGGAAAATTATGAGTTTCGGGGCAATTACGTCCTCACGCACAGGCGCGTCATTCGAATGTCAGTGAGCATCGTGGGAAAGGTATGGGTTGTACCATGGAACTGAGAGAGAGAAAACACTCGACAGATTTACCAACCCGAGTGGAAATTTCACTCAGTTAGCTTGGATCTCCATTAGTTTTAGGTTCAATACTGGTCAGAATTTATTGACTTTTGGATCAGGATTTGATGACATTCTGAATGGAGTATCTGTATCCATTGTGGCGAAGTGAATTATGATCCTATTCTGATCAGTCAAATCTTGACTAGATCCGTATCGGATTCGGTACTGTTCAGGTAGATCGAATCCTAGAATTTTGACCAGGCATTGACCCAAACAAGCGTTACATTTCTGATCCAAAATTGATCAAAATCAGTTTTCACTAGTCAGTCTCTTATTTTATCCTAATTTGAATTTCCACTCGGGAACTCGAGACGCATTTTAATATTATTTCAAGAATTAGAATAACATCCAATAAAAATTATTTGACACCCGTAGGTGATGAGAAAAAAATCAATCAATCTGATAAAGAAAATCAATATTCAAAAAATGTTGAAATGCACACTTAAATAGTTACTTGAAAATTAGAAAATTTCGTGCTCAGCGATTGAATCAGGGCTCGAGAACAATAAGACTCCCCTTCCGTTTCACCCCCCGGTGATCTACACCCGAAACACCTTAACATGAGAAAAAAAATTTCAACTGTTGGAAACAAATTTTTTTTCTCCAAGAATTTGAGATGTGATATTTTTTTTAAACGCTAAAATTTTCCAGATACTTCAATTGACGAATTCAAATTTTCTCGGATTTTCCCGGACAACCAGTAGATGCCAAGAAGAAAAAAACGACGCGCTGCGGCGTTTCCCTCGCATGGTGACCAATCTAGGATTAATCAATCAGGGGATTGATTACCTTCCAACCATGCGGAACCAGGGGAATCTGTCGTAAAATGGATCGCCACCCGTGATATTTTCGATATTATAATCCGGTGATGTGGGTGAAAGCTCTGCCTCGTTATGATACATCTCTCTCATCAACTCTAGGCGTTGTCTGCGGTTGAAAAGACTCGAATGAAGGGTAAAACACCGACAGACAATTACAATAAATTCACCATTAAAACATGCCAGCGGATGGAACAAATAGTAAGATGATAATATTGGTGGGTTTTCGTAATCTGCAATGCGATCAGTTTCAGAATCAGAGGCGGATTGTGTGGGTGGTGGACCTGGCGGCCGTCAGGAGCCACGGGCTCGACCGGGGCCGGGGGGGGGGCGAATTTGATAGTTGAAAAAAAATCGAAAGATTATTTCATTTATAATGCAAAATTTAACATGATTATAGTCGGGATAGACGCGTAAAAATAACAGGATGAATAATTTTTTTCCCAAGTGTCGAGTGGAACAGAAAAAAAATCATTCCTTTTCGTGTCACGGGACCTGAAAATTAATATACACACCTGCAAGACTGCCTTCCGAACCGAAGGCGAGGATGGCAATCTTGCACGTGGGGGACGGTGATCTGTTTTCCAGGCTCGGGCATGTAATGTACTATTTCTTTCTCGTTATCTGATCTCGGAAACGAACGTTTTTTGCCGGTAGGCGAACGCGCGCAATCCAATCTCACAGTTAATGTCAGTTAGTATAGGCCTTTTGCTCAGCTCTTCATGTGTGGGTTTTTGCTTTGCATGTGTTGTGTACATACCAGGACTCTCTACCCAAGTTACGCACAGTACCCGAAATAGGTGGCGCTGAATAGCATGTATGTACATGGTTACAGATCCGATCAACTAGCCCCTCATGTATAGATATTCCAAATTTTTATTTTTTTCCTCATTGAAGTAGTTTTGAAGAAAATTGCGAGCTAATAAAAAACATTTGCTAGTTAGTACTTTTTTTAAAATAAATTTTTGAAAAATCATCCCTGAAAAAAAA